AAGGATTAAAAAAAAAAAAAAAACACTTGGTTGTGGAAACAATTTCTTGCAAAAGGCTAAGATCTAATCGTGGGGAACAACAACACGTAAAGTCCTCCTCTAGTGATCTGCGGAAGCACAACCTTCGCCTCCTGAACCGTCTGCACAAGGTCAGTGTGAACTTGGCCATACCATTGTCCAAATTCGCCTAGGAGCAAAATTGAGCATGCGCTACCGTCTTTCCCCGAACACAACACCCGATCAACACATCAGTATCTGCCCTTCTAGTTGCACTAAATACGTCTAAAAAAAACAGGGTGTTGTGTTCGGGAAGAAAAGGTAGAGCAGAGAATCAGCAGGCCCAAACAGGGAGTAGTTTCAAACCAGACCTACCTGGGACAAGCTTTATGTACGTACACTGCTCGCATGAGCCTACCTGCACACCTAGCATCAGGCCCCGATGGGATATTACGTTGTGCTACTGTAACATGAACGTGGCCAATTTGATGACCAAGTTCACACTGACCTGGCACAGACACACCTCGTGGATATCTGACAATTTGCCCCCCTTACACAAAGGCCTATGCTTCCACTCAAAAGCTTCTTTTAGCATGAACCTGGTCCATAATTGCTCTTCTGGGTGGGTATCCCACATGCGTGTCTGTGGGAGAAAGAGAGAAAGAGAGAGACAGAGACCGAGAGTTCTAGCTGCGGTGCATGTGAACCGGCGCACGAGAAAACAATACAGGTTATTATGTAACTGAAATTGCTCACCCTAGCCCAACCAACCCATCCCCGTACTTTTTACAGCAGCCTTGCTTACCCCTCCCGCTTCTGATTACCGAAAGCTTTGACGAATGATGCCGATATCTCCCCATATACCTCAACAATCTGCCAACACAGAGAAAAAAACAGAAAACACCAGCATGCACAATAGACGTGTGCGATCACCAATAAGAGAAGCAGATATAGAGGATCACCTTCAAACCACGACCCCGTGTGTGTGTGTGTGTGTGTGTGTGTGTGTGTGTGTGTGTGTGTGTGTGCTGTCATATTCGCTATACACTCAAAAAAAGCATGACTGTGCCAGACTGTTTCGGTGGACTTTCACCGCCTCATCAGGAGGTTGAACCTGGACATATAGTCTGCCCAGGATGCATTTGACTGATGGATAAGGACTCACCACATCGCCCAGAGTGAGCGACACCCATCCCTGAGAGAGAAAAGTGGTCGACTTTACTCACACCAACCTTGTGTTTGTGTGTGTGTATCTGTGTAAACTGTCTCCCGTTTTCTTAAATACTTCGTTTTCAACGGGCGATGGCCTTGAGGTATCATTATTGAACTCACCGGGCCCAGGTACTTCAGAGTTATTCCACTCATCTCCTTCCATCAGGATTCGAACTCAGGTCTGAAAATTCATTTCTGTTTCACAAAACACTTCTACATTGTCTACTCCGAAATGTAATCATCATTGTTTGTTCAACTGTCTGTCTCTTTGTGTTTGCATATCATCATTGAACTCACCGGCCCCAATTCGTTTGTTTGCGTTTGTCTGTTTGTGCGTTTGTCTGTTTGTGTGTTTGTCTGTTTGTGTGACAAGGCCAATGATGAGCACTGACACTGACACACCTTATATACTGCAATCTCTTAATGATGCTCATTGAAGAGACAGAGAGGGGGGGGGCAGGGCGGGACGAGAGAGAGGGAGGGAGGAAGGGAGCGGGAGAGAGAGATGGAGAGCA